CAGGCGGGTGGCCCCCACGAGCCCGCAGCGTGCCTGCGGCCGGTGCACCTGGGTCCTGAGGTGCATCGCGCGCCCTGCTGTCTGCGCACCTGGGTCCCGAGGCGCATCGCACGCCCTGTGGCCCGCACACCTGGGTCCCGAGGCGCACCGCCACGCCCTGCGGCCGGCACACCTGGGTCCTGAGGCGCACCTGGGTCTCGACGAACACGGCCATGTCCGTGAGCAGCTCATGCAGCTCGCGGATGCTGTCCTCCAGCGTCAGGATGTCCCTGTGCCGCGCCTCGATCTCGCTGAGCGCCTGCCTGGTGACCTGCGAGTCCGATATGATCTTTGGGGACACAAGGAGAGAGGGGGCGCCGTGAGCACAGCGCGGAGGCTGGGTCGGAGCCGCCCATCCCCCCGGCGGGGGAAGCGCTCACGTCCGAGATGAAGACAGACGGCCTCCCACTCTCCAGCATCTCCTCGAGCTCCTCGTTGGTGGTCATCCTCCCGGCTGGAAGGCAAGCAGCGACAGTCCACTCAGGACGCAGCGCGGTGCCACCCAGCGGGTACTGACGCTGCCACGCTGCCTACTGTCTCCTGCCCTGAGACGCATCTCCTAGGGCGTGAACCGACGCGAGATGGGCCTCAGACTGGGACGCAGGAAGAAGCGGAGCCACATAGATAGCACCATGACGGGGCCAGTAACGGCATCTCTCGTTACGGTGAGCCCCATGAGAAAGGGGCTCCAAGGGGAGGCCGGTGGGGCTGCGTGGGGACGAGCGGACGCCAGGCTCGGAGCTTGGGCATGCCATCTCTGGGCAGCGTGATGCCCTGAGACATGCAAGTGCGCTTCCGAGGCCAGTTCACGGGCGGGCATCTCAGAAGGGCCAGACACTCCGCGGGCATGCATAGCCCTGCTCGGCACTCCGGACAGCGGGCACCCTGACAAAGGCCTCGACAAGTGGCCTGCCCATGGTCCGTGGGCCAGGAGCGGGGCCCAGGAGCGGGGGATAGGAGCAAAGGCCCAGGAGCGAGGGCCCAGGAGCAGGGGATAGGAGCAAAGGCCCAGGAGCGAGGGTCCAGGAGTAGGGGCCAGGAGCTGAGGGCAAGAGTGAGGGCCCAGGCACTCCAGCTCCCAAGGCAAATCAGGGCTGGAAAGAGCTCACTCAGAGTTCCAGATTCAGACTTAAACGGCACAAGTAACAGAGCAGAAAGCAGTGCAGGCAGACAGCGGGGTGGCAGTTACACCCAGCGACTGCGGGACTGGCCACACAGGCAGGTTCCCGGACAGGTGCAGGGCCCCGAGGGCACCAGCAGCTAGGGCAGGCGGGCTGGGTGGGAAATGGTGTTGGGACCTCGTTGGGGTGCTCGCTCTCTACTCCTCTTACTTACGGAAAAGATAAATGGGTAAAACTTTTCAAAACAGAAAGTATGTAAAGGACAGGAATTTAAAGCCCACTTGGAATTTCTGAAGCATGTGAATAAATACTAGGTTTGGAAGTTCAGGGAACAGGCAGCCAGGAAAGGTCTTCTCAACACTGCTGAAGACAGACAGAGCAAGGCCCCCGAGCGCCCTGCCGAGAGAGCGGCCGGCCGTACCCCACCACCCTCCGAGCGCTCCGCAGCCCGCC